TGAACATTTATGTAGATACACATATAAATATACTTATAAATGTATATGTTATGTATATATATATATATATAGTATATCTCGCACTCAAATAAAGCTTATTTTTTGCAGTTACCGTCGCATCGTCGAGACCCCTCAATGAAATTACTTGCACAAATTAATGCCGCACAATTACCCACATCAGAGCCGGGCAGAGCCAGACAATTGATTGTATGATATCTCTCGCACATATGTCGGCATGCTATATGCATGTACATATACACATACATATATCGCACTCTATGGATCTATATATATGTATATATACACATATGTGCACATATTTTTATTTTTGTGTGTTGTTATATTTACTTTCGCCTTTCTTATTACTGTATATTGTGGGCGTATGGTCACTATTTGTTGTTGTTCTGTCGCGTGGTTATTAACACATTCGAGTCGCATGCACACACACTCACACACACTCCGAGTTGCACTTGATTTAATAAATTTGATTAGGATTTATGAGCGTGTGGGCTTTTAATTTTACATCCAAAGCCTGCATATATTCACGAATTTCATAAAGTTTATAGCGCGACTTTAAGGCCAAGTAATTCGATCATGTGATCGATGAGACGAAAGCAATAATAAAAATACGAAATGCTTATATCATTGTGGATAAATGGCAAATCGCTGCATAGCTATTGAAATATAAAACTCGAATAAAATTCAAGTCATTTATCCAATCCAATAGGGTTACGGATAATTACGGATAGCGCTCGGAATGTAGATGAATGTAAATATGGGCAAATGGAATGAAAGGTATTACTAAGGTATGGTAAATCTTCAAATTCACGTGGAATTCTATAGGCTAAAAATCAAATTAGTTAAGCAAATAACAATATCACGGATAATATGCAACATGCTATTTTTAGCAAGCTGAGTAATCGAGTTTTATATGAATACTTGTATAAATAAAGCTTGGATAAAGCTACAGAGTGTTTGTTCGTTAGCCGATAAATGCGAATGACCCACTGTAATAATGGATGAAACTATAGCTATATAACTGCACATACAAATTGTAAATCATACTCGGATCACTAATTACATAAATATGCAACAGATTAACATAATAATTAGTTCAGCTACACCCAATATTTTTTTAAATTACACTTAAATCAATTGAGACCATTAAAAGCTTCAGCTAAATCCACTGTAATATTAATGGATAACATTTACGCCATTTAGTTGCCATGTGGATAAATGCATATTCAATTTTTCGCCATTTTATAACTGATATCATCAAACTCATGATGTAGTCGATTGAGCAAATACGTTGGGCAATGTAGTTGAACGGTCATTGACAGAATATTAATACTTAAAACGCTTTAATACACATAATTAAATTCAATAAATGTGGGAAAATAAACTACTCAAATCCGCACATTTAATTAAAAAAGATTAGAGCGAATAATAGCATGAATGCCATAAATGAACTCCAGAGCCGAATTCGATAACGTTAACGAAAATATTTAATAAATAATGTTGGCAAACGAATATAATCTACGCACACAGATTCGAAATCACATTGCACAACGCCAAATGAATTATTATCCAGTTTATGGGCAGGTGTAAACGGCAACGACTTTCATGTTCGGCGCCGGGTAACTACCCCGAAAACAAGCCGGAAAGAACATTTCGCAGAGGTGTAACGAAGATGCAATACTCTATTAAATTAAATTAAATTAAAGTAAAAATAATAATAATAATTGAAAGGTGAATTAAGATTGTAAAATCTGTAAAATTTTATTAAAAAATCTAATGAAACTAATATATAAATTTATGGTATATTATTGATCATTATCATTAAAACTGAAAATAATATAAAGTAATTGAAAACCGGATATATTTAATAATGATATATTTAACAATTTGTTTCCCAATATATTTAATAAAATAGTATTATCTAGTTACCTAAATCTTATCAAGATGGACTATTATAATATATTATAATATATATATTTTGTAATACCATAATATGTTTATATACTTTCTTAGTAACAATCTAAGGGCTTTAACAATAAAACTGATACCAAAATTCACTAAGCCAACTAAATTTATGGACAATACAAGATGGGCATAGGAGGAGTATCTATATTTATACCAATATCCATGTACGTGTGCGTGTGTGTATTTTTATCGAATTTGTAGCTAGTGGATTGAAGGATAAGCACAACAAGCAAACGCCGTGACAGGTCAAACGGGGCTGTCACCTATAAATAAAACGCACAGCTCAGCAATTTTAGACAGACCTAAAGCAAACTCAAATAAAGCCTATCGATTTTGTGAGAGAAAAGCCATTTACCTGTCAGCCACACGCACACACACACACATGTACGAACACACGCACTGAATACCTTAGTGGGGTAAGTTTTTTCAGTGGGTTAGTTGGTCGCGTTGCCACAGACCAATCAACAAATAGATAAAACTAACAAACAACAACAGCAACTAAAGTTGAACGAACTGGTTGAGAGACTAGTCCATAAAGTAATAAAAGTATATAAAAATAAACTCGAATCTCAATTGGAGAATCAGAAATCAACTGAGCTACCAGCTTCGTCTCGTCTGCGTGATTTTAAGCTGAATTTCCCATCATCTGTTTGCGATGATTCAGAGCATAAATCAAATCGATCGACGTCGTCGCCTTGTCACGTACTACAAAAATCGTCAGCAACATTTGCGATAGGCGATTCGAGTTCAAGCTGTTCTGTCGACTTATTCGAATCGATTGCTTCGATTCATGTTGGCCCCACAAGTCACACACACACACGCCTTCCCTACAAACACATATTAGAAAATACCCTGGACAAGGAGGTAGCTGGATTTTTTCATACTATGAGATCAACTGTAAACTTCCCTCTCTCTATCCATCCCCTGTCTTTCGTTTTTGTTTCTATGAACTCTCACTTGATTATAATATTGAGATATTAAGATTATATAATATTAGTACATATATCAATTATATTTATATTCGCCTATAAAATTTATTTTTAAATTGAAGTTCCACCTCCAAATCTTTCTATTATACTTCCTTATATACTATAATATTTTATATCTTTACATAGTTTTTGGATCGTTTAATATTTACAGCTGATAGCGCTTTTAGGAGTCAGCAATGTTTTTAATGATGTTTAAAGAACTTACGTTAATCTCCTCTATCTGTCTGCCAGTCTCTATTAAATATCATATATATTATATCTGTACTAGTTGTGCTTCTTAATAGATGGATAATAATTTCTATCCATTTTCATTGCTCTATACACAATGACATAGAGTATTTGCTCGCCTCTCACCCTCTCGTACGCTCTTTTAACTTGGTCTTAAATGTTTCTCATGCGCTTGAACGGCATCCGAACGGATCGGTAATTGCTATATTTTTTCACTTGATTGCTTACAGTCTCATGTGTGTAAAAAAATTTGAAAAGTCGTTTTGCGGCTCACGTGAGTGACTGACTGACTGACTGAATATACCACCGCCCCGTGGCTAAAGACATGAACCCGGTTTTTGAGTCAACTGTTTTTTTTTTTCTCTTTGCTGGCAATTGAGCGAACGATTCGATGGTCATTTGTGACAGCTACGCAAAGCAATAATTTGTCTATTTGCCAGTGAAATAAACATTTTGTGAGAATGTGCGAAATACTAATATACATACATATAATTCGTAAATATCTCTAAATATCCATCTCTATTCTCTAGAAACTAGCTAAGCTGCCTAATTGGGTCGTAGACGCTGATAAGATAACACAAATATCTAACTGTTTGCTTTCGAAATTGATTTAGGCAAAATTTTTTTGCATAACTCTTATTTATATAATTTTTTTCATTTTGTCGAAGTTCAAGCCAAAGTCAAAGCCCGTCGTAAACGAAGTAATTATTCAAGCTCCACGCAAAACATGTGAATATAACAAGTTTTTAGAACCTTTTTTATTCCATAAATGTTTTTACGACATCGTCTGAAATTCTCGACTTGTGGGTGGAGTTCAAAATATTGCTATGTTTTCCTTCAAAATTAACGTTTCGTGAATCGAACTATAGCAAAATGATAAACTGTTAATAAACTGTTTATTGTGAGTCATTCCATGCAAAGCATGTATCATAATCTATTTCAGTTAGTTTCTACGGTAAAGTAATGCCTGTGGCTGTGCTGTGGACTTACGGGGAATTTTTCAAGCCCATAAAATATAAATTACTTTTGTCAGATATATTATTTTATTGGTTATTATTTGGGATCTATATTTTACATTAGCTGAAGTTTTATCAGTTCCTATTATTAGAAAGAAATTTTACAAAACAGAAATCGAAGAAAAAAATGTAAATAATGAAAATAAACGAAAAATTAATAAAAACCATAAAAATAAATATAATAAAAATCCAATTAATTCAACACAAGAATAACTAACTATTTTTAATTCCTTGATCAAAAATAAAAGAAAAAGAAAACAAAAACAATTTGAATATCTTTCATCATCCAGTCCTTGTCAACTTTTTTTTTACAATTTAGGCTGGACGATCTTATCGAACAACCACTAAATTATGTAACAAATTCTTAATATTTTGTTTATGCTGTTTAAAGCTCATTCTTGTTCTAGCTATAGAATCATAAACCAGCTCACTTCATAGATCCCTCCATAAAAAAAAAGACAGCTCATAAATTGTGCAAGGTTGAAATTGTTGTGTCTATCTAATCAGACACATTTCGACACAAAAAACAAAAACTGCGGGACCTCCATGAAGGTGAAAATGTAAGTAACAAAAACAAAAAAAAAGAACCCAAAGATAAATATTTAAATTTATGGTTAGAGTCTGCGCGACTGACTCACAATTTGGGGAATGGAAATTACAAATTTACACTAGAATAAAAAATATATGTAGAAGCCCTGGCAAAACGACATATAGAAAAGACCAGCAAGCTAATTTGGCTGATGGCCTACATGAGTGCGAGCGAGACAATAGTCGATGCACTTACCTGACGTTGGCTATGTTCAGTTGTTCTTGTTGTTTTCGCTGCTTTTGCTTATTTCCGTCTTCTTTGCTTCTTTTTTTCTGTCTGCTGCTGCAGTTGTCGATATTTGTTTTCGTTATGTTTTGGGTTCTTTTGCTGGCCTCTTTCTCTCTCCTTTGCTCACACACTGTGTTTTTTCTGATTCTTTTTTTTCGCTGCTGCTACTGCTTGCACACACGCGTTTTTGTTTTGCTTGGCTCGTTCGTTTATGTTTTCACTTTCACAGGTAAAATTCTATGTGATGGAAAAAGGTTAAGAGAGTGACAATTTTATTGGCTGGCAGCAAAAAACAAACTGCTGTTGTTACTTTTCTTTTTTTATATTTTAATTTGTATTTTTTTCTCGTTGCTTTACAAAAATCACTTTGGTGCCTTTTTTACACACTAACCGAGCAAATTTATCGCAATTGCGGCGACTACCTTACGCTGCGAGCGTTAAAAATCAACTGAATTGACGTTATGGCCAGCCAGCCACTGAGGCGTGAGCGCGCTTTTGATACCGTTACGGGCAACAGCAAGAGAGAAAAGTCACGAGCGCCAAATATGCGCAAGTATGCGTGATTCAGTATGTTTGTGTGGTGACAACCTTCTCTCTCACTCTCCCAAACTCTCACGCTGAACTCATGCCTGGGTGCCTTTGCATCTGTATGTGTGTATGTGGGTGATTTTATTCCGCTAAATACATATACATGTACGTTTTTTTATACCGGCTGATTAGTTGATATAGTGCTCATTTGGGCAACAACAACATGCACTCAGATTAGAACAGAGCTCTCATAACCAGTATTAAATAAATGCCAAATATTAGCAATACCCCCAAGCACTGCTCAAATGCAACACTCTTCACACGTGGTTTATTTTATTGCAACTTCACGCGACGTAAAAATTCCCACACACAAGCACAAAAATACCCAAACGGACACCAAAACGTAGCACGTCACAATAACAAAAACAACAACAACATCAATAACGCTTGCGATTTGCTCTTAGCATAATTTCGTTCTGGATTCTCTCACAAACACCACTCTCTCTGTCACTCTCTCATTCGTGTACTCTACATGTGCGTTGTGGCTGGTCTGGCAGACGAAACCGTGTGTTGCTTTTTTTGTTATTGTAAACATTTAGTTAGCACCTCTCTTTATAAATCATATCCAATGCAGCAGAGAGCCACACAAGATGTGAACTAATATGTTTAACGCTTTTTACTGCTGACAATAGTTAAAATAAACAACCTAAACAAGAGGACTTTATATTTAGTAAACTTCTGTTCTGTTTTTATACGCAACAAAAAATTAGGCCTCTAGAGACGGTCCAGCGGTTGACAAGTGTGCGTGCGGCCAGGCCTCCAAGCACGCACATACACACAAACACTCCCGAATATAGTAAAAGCGTCGACACTCTTGAGATTCGCCCTAATTTGTTAAGCCAACAGTTAAATTGGCATTCGCGCACAGTCTATTTACCTCTTAGCACCTTCAACGCTATTTGCATTTAAACTTTTACTGCTTTATTATTTAATGATTTAATTTGTTGTAACAAAAATGAAATTTGCCCGCGACACAAGCTAATGTAAACTGACTGTTAAACTGAGTCCACTGCCGAGTCTCAGAGCGCAGCTGTTTCTTAACAGTGTTGGCGAGAGTGATAACAGAAACTGTGACTGCCATCAGTCGGGTAACAACTTTTGTAACTTGCCTAAAAACAAATAATAATTAATAAAGCCATAGGGCTTACTTAAAAATTTAAATTCCATCTAGTTCATACAGAATTGAGTCATATTATGTGGTTAAAAAAATACTTATATGGTTATGATTTGACTAACAGCATTATTTTCGCACATCTACTGTTAAACTAATGTTAGAGTCGATTATTTAATTTATCGGCTTTTAGATAGCCATTTGAGTTAGCAGTAAATTGTGCAGCACTGTTAAAAGACACTCAATCGTGACAAGCGCGCCTTTAAATTGAAGTGCTGTAAAATTAAAAAAACGACATTATTAAAACAGTCTTGGCGTAGTTTCAGGCAAATCAAACTACTGTAAATAAATCAAGTTTTGCAAACTAGCAGTGTTAACCATAAATGTGCGCTTAACCAACACGTCTTAGGCGCACCGATGAGGTATGCAGAAATTTTACATAAAAAACCAACGTTTTTGCCATTTTAAAATTACTTTGAGTCTTATTCTCAGCTTTTTTACATAGTATAAATTTGGTATTCAGATATAAATGCAATTTTAATCTCAGGAATTTGCTAATATCATGTTACACATCTCGTTGTTCTTCTGATTCAGGACAAAAGTGCGACCAGGTGATTTTATAGTTTGCGTTGAGCGGAAATGCTTGGCATAGGGTTTATTCACCAATTGCAAATAAACCGAGCGAGTATTGGAAAGACTGTGGAAGAGAAATAGATATAAGATTTAATTATCAAAGCGCAGTATTTGGACTTACGTGAGCAGTTGTTCGGCTCGCTCCAGCTGCATGCAGAGCTTGATGTTGCTGTAGAAGTCCAGATCCGCCTGCAAACTAAGCTTCGGCTCATGGCGCAGCTCAATTTGCTGCTCCAGCTTGGCATAGGTGAAGCCGACGGCCAGGTGGGAGACGACAGCGGTGCCAGTGCTGCATGAGAATAACATTTCATGAGTAATATTTATATGAGTCAACCCACATTCCCCTCTCCCTCTCTTTGCTTGACCCTGCTCACTTTTGTTGTATTTCCGTTTGGGCATTGCGATTCCACAGACTGAAGGTGACTTTGCCATTGAGATCGACACTTCGAGCGCCGAGCACACGCCAATGGACAGTGGCGCCCGATGCCAGGACAATGTACTGCTCGTGATCCTGAGCCAATGTGGTGGCCTGATAGGCTGGTGTCGTGTCCGAGGCGCTGCCGCCCCACACATGACCCATCAGCTCCGTCTGACCGTTGAAGAAGACCAGCGGACGCAGCTGGGCGCCCTGTACACTGATCTCCATGCCCGCCGTCATGGTCTCTTCCTGCTCCAGCTCGTCGTCGGCCGGTATCTGATCGTTACCCTCGTCCGCATCGCTGTCGCCCATAAAGGAGCTCAGTCCAGACGTGTAGATGCCCAGCTTGAAGCTGCTCGCCTCGGCGCGTCCGGCGTGTAGGAGGAACTCCACGGAGCCGCGCTTCAAGATACCTTGAGACACCTCCTGGGTGCTCAGTAGGGTTTCATTGAAGGCGGGCGATGTGGAGAGCTGGCGACTCAAGACGGTGGTGAGGCCTAGAAGGAGATAAAGGAAATATATAAAGATCTTAGGCAACTTCAATTTCTTGCCGGGATTACCTCGTTGGGCCAGCACATTGTAGTTGTTGACATGAGCTCGCTGCCTGAGCGCCGTCTGGAACATGGACCGGAAGCGTGGACAGATCTCAGCCAGCATGCGCAGCTTCTGTAGGACATAGGTCTTGATCTCGAATTGGCGATCCGTGGAAGCCAAATAGTCGAGCAGTTCGCCCAACTGTTCGGCGCTGGGTCGCATGGCCAGCAGGATGTCCAGGGCCAGGGTGCGAGCGGAGCTGTCGTAGCGTCGCTGGCGCTGATAGAAAATGCTCGAGAACTGCTGACGATGCGGCTCCGCGTAGCTGAAAGCTGGAAATGATTTGAGGGCCTGGAGAGCGGCAACCGAGTGCTGGGGCTGCTGCGACTGCAGTGCCTGCTGGAGCAGTGGATCGATGGTCAACGGATCGCGTAGGTTCTGCAAGGCGCGAGTATAGAGCAGAGTATTGTGGGTGGAAGCCAATCCCTCCAGGAGGTAGTTGCGGATCTGCTGCAGCAGCTGGTCATTGGCGTCGAGGCCGCTCTGGCGAGTGAGCGTAGCCAGCGTTTGGAGCACGCTGTCCCGCAGCTTGAGATGGGATTTGTGGGGCAGCTTCTGCTGCAGGAAGTCGTAGAGATGCTCCAGGATGCGACGTTCCGGGTGCGTGGCCACGGCCAAGGATTGCAAATACTTTTCCAGCAGCTCCAAGGACTCCGCCGTAGTACCCGCTCCTCGATAGAAATAACTGAAGCTGGCGTTGTGCGCCTCGAAGGTTTGCACGGCGCCCAGCAGATCCGCCAGCTGCGCTGCCAACGGCGACTGCGACTCCAGCAGCGACTCGAACTCCGGCTGCTTGGTGAGACGCGCCAAGGGCAACAGCTGAACGAAGGCCGAGGCTAGCGAGGATTTGCCCAAATGCTCCGTCTTCAGTTGCTCCAGCATGAGCTCCACTTGAGATTGAAGCTGAAATAGAGCGGATTTTGATTTATTGAATTCCCTGCAGAAGCTCAACTCTTACCGTCTGCTCCTTCAACTTGCTGATTTCGCCATCCACGTCTGCCTCCAGCTCGAAGACGCGATACCATTCCAGGAGACTCTCAATGGCCGCTGCCAGCGTTGGCTGCTGTAGCTGCTCGACTCCCTCGCCCTCGGCTAGGTGCTGTAGTCGGAGTTTGCCATGCACCATGCTCCCGGCATCCGGCTTGGCAGCGAGCGTCAAGCGATGCGTCTCCACAGATTCGGCCCTCAGCAGGAGACCCTCGGCGCTTAGATCGTAGCTGAGCTGCTGCTCGGAGTGCTGGGCCACGCCCAGTGCCTGCTCCGGATGGTAGTTGACTCGTAAGTCCCATAATGCGCAATCTCGCTTCGTCTTCTCCCAGCGCGTCGAGGATTTCGCTTTGTATTCCACGCGACAATGGCCCGAGATGTCCAGCTCGGTCTCTTTCGCGTCGCTGCTGTCGCGGCGCAGCTGAAAGAGCGAGGCGATGCCGCGTTCCAGATTCAGCAGCGACTGATCTCGCGACGTGTGCGCGATCACCTGCTTGGGCTGACCTTTGACCAGCGCCACATAGAAGGGCCGATCCGGCAGGCTGAGTATCGGGCGCAGTCGCTGCTGCGCCTTTACGTGACTTTCACTCAACTTGATTTCCAACAGCTGATCCTGCTCATCGTTCCAGACGGAATTAATGCTCAGCTGCGTATCAAATGTGTAGCTCACTTGCTCCGCTTCCAGGCTGACCTCGCTGGAAAGCTGATAAAACTGCTGAGAGCCAGTGGGAATTAAATTGGCTGGAGATGGAGATAAAAAGAGGGAAGAGACACGTCATTAGCAACTGGAAGAACTTTCTCATGACGGCTTCCAGTCTAAGCTCAAGAGGTTATCAACAAGTTGCCGTTACTAGCAAATCAGCTGGCAGCGCTCTCGCTCTGCTCACTGTCAATACTCAATTGTGGCTTTGTCGCTCTCTTGCTCTTTTGCTCACTGTTAAGAAACTCAATCGTGTTTGTGCGTGTGCGGTGTTTCTGACAGTCATGCTTGCATATGTATGCGTTCATAGAGCATAAGAACGATTGAGTAATAGGTGCTACACCATCTCCCACTCTTCTGCTAAGACTATCTGTACATGTACATATGTGTTTAACTTTCATTCTTGCATGTGTGTGCGTGCATTACAAAAACGATTGAGTAAAAGATTCCGAGTGTCTCTTAAGCAAGAAGTTCATTCAACTCCCAGCTTTCTACGTGCTTCGCCTGAACGAAATCAACAAATCGGACGAAAACAACAAATTCTTTGCAAATTACTCACCAAAACAGTTTACCAAAGAGAGAGAGACCAAAAACAGTTGCAGCAGCAATGTCGGCAGCGCAGAGTTAAAATTTGGGCACCGGCTTTTACCACTCATTTGCCGGTTTCGTTGCATTTCTTTTGTTCGCTATGATATGAGTACTTTGACAGGATTATATTAATTAATTAATGCATTGATTGATCGTTCTGGCTGCACTAGTTGCTCGCAGCAGCTCTAATTCCACTTTAATCTCTCATTAGTTCTAATGCTCGACTGGTGTTTGTTTGAGCAGTAACAGCGAAGAATGATAGGCGCATGTTAAATAACAGACAAATAACAGTGTGGCATATTTATTGTAAACAGCAAACGGGCACACTAAGACATAAGTGTGTTGCCATACTACTCAAAATAGATAATTCAAAAATAAAAATCGTTAAGAAATGTTTAAATATTCGTATTATTGGTTTATTGACCATAAAGTAACTGCAGGTTAAATATTTATAAATACTCAACAGCTATTTAATTTGCTCAATCAGAAATACATATTTCCTTAGCTTATCTCTTATCAATAAACAAACAAAAGAGAAATTTCTGTTGTTTGCAGTTCAGAATCTTTATCTTTTATTTGTTAAAAAGAAAAATTAAATACATTGTTTAACTAACCGCAAAAAAAAAAAGAAATTGTGCTCAGCGGCTTAATGCAAAAGGTAAATATCAGAAACAGGGCAATAATTTAAGGGAATTATGAGGGAAATATATGGACGCATATCTAAATGCATAAGTACACTGACATAAATTTATTATAAGCAATTAATTAAAAAATTATGTTTTAATTTTTTAGGTAATTTCTAATATTAAAGTAATATCTACTATTCTCTCAGTGCACATACATATATACATATTTATAGCGATAAGTGGGACGGTTCGAACGAACGGACATTGCCCGTTGCGATGGACGCGAAGACAGCAGCTGAGTCAATGCCGGCAATGGCAACGGCAACGGTTTATCAGCAGCAGGAGACAGCGACAACAACAACAAAAACAGTTGAGTACAACAACAGCGGCTTGAGTGCCCCTGACACTTATATGGCAAACATATGTTTCGTTACAAATTGAACGAGCGACCGCAGCAACTTTAAATTTTGCTTATCAGTAGCTGCAGCAGATAGCAACATAAGCAACAACAACAACAACAATGGCAGGCTCTCAGTCAGGCAAACAAACGAAAATTAACAGAAACTAAATTTAAACACGTATTGCTGCGGTTAAGAACGAGATAGCACATCAGCGCTGCCATGCACAACTGCGAGGGTGAGAGAGCGCGAGTGATTGTGATTGAGAGAGCGCGCGCGTTTCATTAGCTGCAGCTGCAGAGCTGCTCTCTGCGGTCGTTTGGCAAGGTTAACGGTGCGTGTGCTTAGAAGAGGAAAGGGCGACGCAGTACAAAGTGCAATTGACATAGGGCGCACAAGTGGCCAGCGGTGAGGAAAGACGGAGAGAGGAGTGTGGCCAGACGCTGGGCAGCTTAAACTGAAGCAATCGCTGACTTAAGCAGTTGGCGGCAAATGATTGTTATTCTAGATGAAATCCGCATTGGCACAGTGGAACCAAATTAAAAGATTTAAGCGGAATATTGAGATAGACTTGGAGACTATATATAGCAATACATACGTATGTATGTATGTATGTATGTATGTATTATTATTTAATTATTTTGAAATCATTATTGAATATTCAGTAAATATTGTTTAAAGTCTGTTTAAATAAAAAGTCTGTTTAATAAAAAAAAAATTTTTTTTTAAATAAATAAATATTGTTTAGCCTATGTGCTTGACAAATGGAAAATTTTCTGAATAACTATGTCAAATGGAAAATTGAATTAATAAAAAACTTTAAAAATTAAATTTTTTATATCCTCATCGATTTGCGATAGCTTTACAACAAATAGCTTTATTCGCCGTTCACTCTGCGTCGCTGACCACCTGCGTTCGCTGTCAACGCTGACGTTGACGGCGACGGCGACGCCAAGTGTGAACAGGCAATGGCAAACAAGCAAATAAACAAACAATCGAAGTGCGGACGATGGCCAAAGCGTTACCCGTGTGTAAGTGTGTGTGTGTGTGCAGCTTTCGGTCAAGCTCTGCAAAAGGTTGCCACACGTGCGAGTGGGTGTGAGAGTGTAAGTGCTGCAAAAGATAGAAAGAGAACGAAAGTGTGTGAGGGCTGTGTGCGTGCGTGTGTGTAAAAACGTTATGTGGTTTGTTGTTGCTGCTGCTGCTGCTGCTACTGACCTCTAGCTTTGGTGTGAGGAGAAAAGTTGGAGGGAGTTGCCTGTGTAGCTAGCGCAGCAGGAAACAATTAGCTCTAAATAAAATTTCAAAATAAGCAACTGTTTGCGCTTAAATCCGGCACCAAGCGAGGCGTGTGTGCACGCGAGGGCTTTTAGGCCCAACAACAAGAACGACATCAGCAACAACAACAATAATAACAACAACAGCAACTATAATCAGCATATAAATAGATAGCATGCTATCACTTAATTACGGTATTTAAATGAGCAACAAATGATATGATAGCACAGTTTGAAGCTTTGCACCAGTGTTGTCTATCGCAAAAATGGGACACCAAATTTAATGGGAACTATGGGACATGTGTCGACATGCAAATGTACATACATATATATGTATGTATTTGCGTTTTTTTTTATTATTTTTATTTGTATAGTATTATTTAGCTTGAATGAGTGAATATGATGCTGAGTTGATATCTCATAATGTAAATTGAAAAATCTGAATATGAAATGCAGATATAATCTGAAATAGATTTTCTTGCTATGGCGTTTGCCGGCTAACTGTCACCAAATCGAAACAAAATCTATCCGTAAAAAAAGCTAAATTGCCAGCACTGCTCTTCTCATACACTCACACGCGCGCGCTGAAACCGTTCTTTTGTCAGTAAAATGTATACATACATATATTATATAATTAACAATCGTACTACTACCGCATATATTGACAGCTTGTAATTAAGCAAATTACAGAAAATTACAAATAAAATAATTAAAATATCTTAAAGCCAACAATTAAGTAAATAATCAAATGGAATTCGCAACATTTACAAGAATGGCCACATAAAAAAAAAAAATTGTAAATAAATCAAATAAATTACAGATTAAAAAATGTGCAATTTAAGGGAATTACAATTATTTTATATAAATATAAATTAAATTTAAACAAATTATAGAATATTAAAAATTGTAATATTTCATTTAACTAATTTAATTTCAATTTTGACTAAACTACTCCAAGGAGTCGATTTTTTTTTTTTTTTTTTTTGAAAATTTCATTAGACAAACGCGCTAGAAACTGTGCTACATTTTATTAATTTATATATTTTGTTAAACATGCCAACAGGTTTTACTATAGTATGTTACGGAGCAACCTTTATTCTCTCTGCCTATCTGTCGTTCTCGTCTACTCTCTCTCTCTCTCTCTCTTTCTCTCTCTTTCTCTTTTTCTCTGGTTACTTTTCTCTCTCATTTTATCTCTCCCGCCATACTTTCGAATATGTAAACTGTAAAATAGAATAGAATAAATTTGCGGGGATTGAAATTGATCAACATTTTGTTGACAGTGTTAGATAACGCGTGTATAAAGTTTTTTGTGTTTTTTCACTCTTAATTTTCTGTGGAAAATGTAATTGAAAATTGAGGCGCACAAACCGGGCTAATTGGAATTGTTGCATTATGCAAATGGCAGCCGCAGCAAATGCTAATTAATCTATATGTATATATATATATATATATATATATATATATAAGTTAAGACTATCGACAGTCTAGGGAGGCTGGAGCGTTCAATCGGATATTCAAGGGGAGAACCTGATCAGTATACCTGATTTAGTTCAGTTTATATTCGGACGAGACACAGTTCAGACCTATTGTTCCAAATTGTATCAAATATATTATTTCATCGAACACCAAGTTGTTATATATTCACAAGAACCCAACACAGCGTCCCCAATCACTAGTACTCTAGTGTGGGTGCGCTTAACTGGCGCCCGAGCAGGGACCCACATTCTTCACAAAAGGAAAATGGTGACGTGACGTGTCAATAACAAAATATAACAATAACTTATAAAAAAGCAAGTACAAATAAATTGTTTCAAATCTAAAAGCTGGATTGGACAATTGTTGGCAAAATTAAGTGGTACTTCTGTGATTTGCAAAGTAATGGGTGAAACACCATGCCATAACATTAAAATAAAATAAATAACATAATTTCTAGCAAGAGCTAGACAATTTTATAACATAAAAGAAATCGTAGCAAAATCCTTGTAGAGACGATCCTTAAAACGAAATACAAGAAATTTGCAGGCTAAATGGTGGTACAGATTGATTCTCGTATCGAGGTTCAAATCCTTGCCGTAAGACAAATATGATAAAAAATAAACGTCACAATTTCCACCTGTGTTGAATGATGGGTTTCCGTATAAATTAAAAGGAGTTAAGTTTAAAGCACTGACAATATAACAAAATTAAAAGGCGGCCTGTCTCAACAAACAAAGCATAAATATGCAAATATACAAATATGAATTATTTAAATAAATAAATGCAAATGCAATAAATGCAAGAGAGAAACCAGAAAATGAGACAGTGCCATATAAAGATACTTAGAAATTGATAATTCAAATAATTTTACAACAGACAAAACAATAACACACGTAATAATACAATTGGTAATTCGATGAAATAATATATTAAAGAAATATATTCACAAAATATAAATATTCACATCAACAATTTAAAAAAATGTGTTAAAAAAATTGTGTTTACAAAGACTGTTAGAACATTACTAACGTTTTATCTCCACAGCAAGGAATTCCGCAAGACGATTAATATGATTTTCTTATCTCAATTGGAAACGGAAAATAGCAGTAACTTGGAAACAATGAAAAAACTGATTTAGTGTAGAAAAATTAAGTCGAAAAATTAAATTGATAACATAGTAGGCCTTGCATCGAGTCGAATAGTAAGTAAGTTTTCCGACATTAAAATTATTTAGTTCACTTGTGCACCGAGCTCAAGCCGTAAGTAAAAAATTTTTTTTGAAAAATTTACGAAAAAATAAAAAAAACCTAAAAAGAAATCTTACTAAAGGTAATAATAATAATAATAAAAATTATATAAATAAATAGAATAAAAAATACCAGGTAACGGGTGAGTAAGTCATAAAAAAATGCTCTTGTTTAAAATAACATTTACAGTGAGATTAATTTGCTAATAAATAATTTAAATTCGTAGGCAGTATGGAAAATATAAATGAAACATTGCAAGGGTTAAGCGCGGCAATAACGGTGTTAGCCGATCAATTTTCAAGTCTAAAAGGAGAATTGAAGCAATTGAATAATAAAGTGGATAAATTGGAAAATAAGGATACTAATACTTTATTAATAGAAGAACAACAAATCTCACTGGCCCGTCCACGTTCAGAGCTCGAATTAAATGAAATTTCGTCATTGCCGGACTGTATCAAAGTGTTGCCTACATTTGAGGGAAACCCTTCAGAATATGCCTCGTGGGTAAACAGAATTGAGTCCGTACTTGAAGATTATTATATTATCAAGGAAAGACCTCTATATCGTTCAATAATTTTACACATACGGGGAAAAATAATTGGAAATGCTGATATCTCATTGATATCATACGGTGTTCAAAATGATGATTGGCCTGAAATGAAGCGAGTTTTGCGATTGCATTATGCTGATAAAAGGGATGTTCGCACCTTGGAGTACGAATTAAATCAAATGATTCAAGGCAACAGTGACATGGAAACTTTTTACAAGCAAGTGAATAGTCAGTTTTCTTTAATTTTACAAGCCTTAAAAGCAAGCGAACAACCAGTCGTGGCATTGTCTGCATTAATAGAATCGTATAGAAATAGAGCTTTAGACGTATTTATAAGGGGACTAAACGGTGACCTACCGAGGATGTTAACAGTTAGCAAACCTAAAAATTTACCGGAAGCTTATGCCATTTGTGTGAATTTACAGAATATTTCATTAAGAAGTAATGGTGTGCAAGGGACATATATGTCTCGTGGAATTAATGATTATCAACAAAATAAAAACTGGAAAAATTCTTCATAAATTCAGATTTAAGAAAATAGAAAAAAAAAGGAAAATGCACATTTAATTATATTGTAATAATCCTCTTTTAACTTCCTTGACTTCCTAGCAGCCATAGCACATTTAATTATATTGCAATAATCTTCTTTTAGCTTCCTTAACTTCCTTAGCACCCATAGCATCCACAGCATTTTACACGTGGTATATCCCTCCTAGTTTCGATCATTCATGGTAATAGGGATTTCCGAGATGCCAGACGGAATAAAATAAATGCGCTTACAATGTTGGATGTATTGTCATAACCACAAATGCATACTAAATGTATGGAACTATGAATGCTTTGAATTAACTTGAAGGTGGATATCGATGGCCCTCCTTATGCTAATTTATGGACTCTGGATAATAAATTTATATTGGATAATTATCATTATATTGGACAATTTATATTGGATGGATATCGTATTGGATAAATATCATTATATTGGGCAATTTATATTGGATAATTATCATTATATTGGACAATTTATATTGGATGAATATCGTTACAATGGACATATGCACCCTGATCTGCGGGACGCAGATATTTAGACGGGGAGGAGTTAAGACTATCGACAGTCTAGGGAGGCTGGAGCGTTCAATCGGATATTCAAGGGGAGAACCTGATCAGTATACCTGATTTAGTTCAGTTTATATTCGGACGAGACACAGTTCAGACCTATTGTTCCAAATTGTATCAAATATATTATTTCATCGAACACCAAGTTGTTATATATTCACAAGAACCCAACACAGCGTCCCCAATCACTAGTACTCTAGTGTGGGTGCGCTTAACTTATATATATATATATATATATATATATATATATATATATATATATATATATATATATATTTGTTATATATATATATATATATATATATATATATATATATATTTTGTTATATATAGTATGTCCATATAATAGAAGCAGCTAAAAACGAGTTTAAACAAAAATGGCAGCCTTAATAATTTAATTAACCAATGATGACAGACAACAATAAAAGCCAACAAAATGTTTCAATTGGGCGTAACTAACATGGAAAACAATGTCACTACTGACCCAATTAGAAAGCGGAATGTATATATGCATGTATGTAGGTTCGTATTAAACTATAGTTATATTTGGCAAACTAAAATTTGTTTATTTTGATGCATTGAATACCCTTTGTAAATGGCACTTGGTAGGGTATATTGATTGTTAATGCACGTGGACAGTGGACAGACAAAGGCGTGGCGTGACATTTGCTTACAACAACCTTGTAAGCTTTTAAATAAAATATATATAAATTATATAAAATAAAATAAATTCAATAATTTATATTTAAAAATTTATATTTTAAATGAAACAAGTAAGAACGTCGGGCGTTACCGACTGCGGAATACTCATTCACATCCCATCAGCAATTTAGTACCTAAGTTTAGCTCTAATACTGTAGAAAATTAAGTTTTTCCCGATTTGCCACGCCCCTACTGATCGTAATCACTTCTCTAGCTTCAATAGCGCCGAAATAAACCGTTCATACGGACAGACGGACGGACAGCGAGACGGACATTGCAGAAAACCAATATACTAATTCACTTCCGTAAATGAGTATAATAATTCACTATCGTGAATGAGAATCAAAATCCCATACGTATTCAATCTATCCAACCTTTTTATTATATCTTAGTCGAGCAACCCGACTCTCTTCCTTTTATACTCATATTTCGTAGTTTGGTCAAAAATTTGGTTGAGCTGTTCGCAGCAGTTGAAATTATGAATAGATAAAACATTTATCGGTCAGCACAAAACAAAAACAAAAATGAAAAAAGTTTATTCAAACAATTTTGTGCTTTTGTTTAAAATATTAAAATATTGTTGCACAATTTTAATCCAAGCGGGGCTTATACAATGCATTAATTTTCCACTACGTTTTACCTACGGTATATTTTAAACATATTATTTTGCACAATAAAGCGGGACATGTTTTTATTTTTATTTATTATGTTTGAAATATGTTTCACAGGCTGCACGATATTTATTTATTTTCAGCATTTTTAAGCAAAAAAGTGATTTATTAAATATGAAGTTTTGGTAAATTTTGTGAAATTTGCATGAGTTTTCGTCAACTGTTAGAGATAAATTAGCTTGATTGGTATTCAAATATAATCCATATACATTTATTAAACATAAACAATTTTCGAAATAGTTCTGATAGAGTAAACCAAGTTATTTGTTCATTTTATTATTTTTACAATTATATAGTATCTTATTTAAAGAATTTGGTCTAAAATATTACTAAATAGTAATTATGTTATATGATAGTTACTATAGTAGAACTATCGTAAAGTTTATACTTGTTTTTCTGGTATAACATTTCTTTTTGAAATTAAGTATTTAATAGTATCTAAGGACAACAGTCGTAAATAAATATTTTAGGTTTTTGAAAAAAGCTGTTTAAAATTTCACTATAAGATAGTTCTTAATGCGATAGTTGTATCTTTATCTACTTACAATAGAACAAAAATATCAATCCTACTCTGAGTTGCTTGCTACGGCCAGAAATTGTCGAAAGAGCGGAAATCGTTTTTATCGAATAACCTCTTGACCCTTGACCCCGACTGACCTGCCCCAGTCGGGTCGCATTTGTTTTGAGTTTTGGGTTATTTTGTAGCGTTTTTTGCGTGTTGTGTAAACAAAGTTTAAATTTTTGTTGCAAATGAAAATGAAATACCAACAGCTCGCTGCCAGAGGGGTAAGCCACACACACTCAGAAATATACGCATAGATATATATACATAAATGTATACATGTACATATAGATGTATAGATGTATGCCCATATATGCTATATGCATACATTTATACAAACACGCAAATTATGCAAACGGCCACCGCAAATAACATAAATTTCACAAACTCGGCGGCCCGCAACGCACCTGACAAGCAAAAGAGTGTGGGACAGAGAGCGAGAGTGGGTGGGAGAGGAACAGGCAGTGAGCAGGAGCGAGGCAGAGCATGTGTAGGCGACGCCAAAGCGACGACAATGAAGGTGTTTGAAAGCACCGTCGCATAGAAATGTTAACGGCTGCATTAGTGCACATATACACATACATACACAAAAATACTCATTCACACATACACACATGGATGCACGCACGCTTGTATTGACAAATATGCCTGCGTGCCTGTGCATTAATCTGCATTTGTGTGTGTTTTTGAGTATTTAAATCGGGAATAACTTCATATAAGCAACCGCTTTTGATTTCATCTTCTTACAACAGCTTGTTTTGTTTTTTTTTGCTGCTCTTTGTTTTGTGTTGCGCTTTGCACGCAGGCAGGCAGGCAGGCAGGCAGGCAGGCAGGCAGGCAGGCAGGCAGGCAGGCAGACAGACAAACCGTAATAATAAAGGCAGCTTACGAGCGCTGACAGCGCTGTCAATACAAATACAAAGGGGGCGCAATGTCAGCCTGCGAGAGTCGCTGCCGAGCTGCAGAGAGTTGTCAACGGCAGCGGGCAATTGGCGTAAATTTGCATTGGCAATCAAAAGAGCAAAAGAGAAGTGTGAGAGCTTAAAGCACACCGAAAAGTGAATGCACTAAGCGGCAAGGTAAATTCCAATTGTTTAATATACACACATATAGAAATCAATGCAAATTAAATATATAATTTATATGGTTAGTGTATGAATATGTTTGTTAGTTTTCCAAACAGTTTTAATGAATAATAAAATATGGGATTTTATATATTTATGTATATTTTTATTTACGTATGTATTAAACGCTTCAGGCAAGTATGCAAACACACGTGAAGAGCTTTTAACGGTTTTTATTATGTATTTGTTTATGCACATTGCTTATTTCACAGTTAAGTAATGCGCGCACACGCATAAAAAATCTTTTTAAACACTCGTGTGACCCGCATTGGGAGTGTAATGGAATAAAAAATCAACGGCATGCGCTTAAAACTAAAGATCAACAAAGCGTTTAAAGTTATGGTTCGTTCCCGCTGGTCCCGCTGCTCACGCTGTTCCCGCTCTGCGCGCTCTTCTCGCGCTTCACACTGCTCCCACTCTTTGCTTCGCTTGCGCTTTCTGATATTCCTTTGGAACTGCCCTTCGGCAGTTTCCGAGGCTAAGCTTCTTTTTCTCATAAGTTGCTGACATTAATGCTCTTAATTAAAGCAGCGAACGAATGTCAACAACAACAATAACAACAACAACAACAACAACAAAAACAAAGGCAACTGCAACAATAACAACTGCAGTGGCCAGCGATAGGGACACACACACATGCTCACACGCAATTTGCATCGCCCCTCATTGAAGAGTTGTCACTTCTCTCTCTGTTGCTCCCTGGTGGCCTTCATACAAACAAAATGGCAGGCGAAAAAAAAAATATGGAGAGCATTTATTTTTTTATGCTCGTATGTATTTGCCTGTGTGTGAATGTGTGTGAGTGTGCGTGTGCGTTTTTTGTGAGCTGGATTAAATCAAATCAAATTGAAGCTACGAGAAGGCGAATTGCGACGGCAAAGCAGAAAATTAAACTGCAAACAACGCGGCAACTGGCGGAGTAGAAGCTTTTGCATTCCCATTCAAACAATGCAATACAAATTGGGTCAAAGATCAAGTGGAGCTCAGCGTCGACGGCAGCAGCAACAGCAGCAGCAGCAGCAGCAGCACTAAAGGAGGCAGCGCCAGAAACAACAAAGCTTCCAAATAGAGTTGTGCTGTGTGGGTAGAGACGCCGACGACGACGTTGACGACGACGCAGCGGCGCGTGGCATGCACATGAATGCAGTAGCAGAGGGCATAGAGTGCAGAGAGCAGAGAGCGGGAGGGTGAGAGCATAGGTCGCTTGCCAGGCATGATGGATATGCACACAAGCGAATACGGAGAAGCGAGCAAGACGGCGCAAGAAAAAGATTAAGAAATATGCGCGTCAGTTTTCTATGGGGCGCCGCATTGTTGTTGTAGCTGCTGCTGCCTCTGCTTCTGCTGCTGTTGCTGGGATCTGTGTGCATGAGCATGCATATGCAAAGTATGAGAGGACGAGTGGGAGAGCAGGAGAGAGCGCAACTGCGGGCGCTTTGCTTGTCAGCGCCACAGCTGTGACTAAGCGGCGCATAACTACCAACTGTGAACTACGGGTAAGCGTCTGCTTCCAGTCGCTTCATCCTTCTCTCTCTCTCTCTCTCTCTCTTTCGTGTGCCATATCTAGGCGCCTAGCCTTCTTTTCGCTTTCGCCATGTGGTGCTTGAATCTTTTTTGTCTTCCTTTTTTCGCCTATGCATTTTTCACTCTTTTTTGGCCTGCTCGTAGGCGTTGATGATACCAACAACAACAATAACATGCGCCAAGGCGCGGGCAAAGTGTGCACAGTGGGCCAACGGTGACATTTTGTGCAGAAATACAATTTAGTATTATAATTGCAGTTGAAGTGAGAGTTTCGTTAATAGATTATAAATATTCTGAAAAATATTTCAATTATACTAATATACTATTAACATATTAATAATAAACCTGAAGCAAATAAGAATGTAATAAATATACCAATAAAATAAAACTAATCAAAAATATACTAATAAATGTAAAATATAATAAATACCTGGAATATTTTTGTGTTTAAGAATTTCTTTTAATAAAATTTATTGTTGTTTTCATTTATACATTTTGCATCCACACCGACTGTGCTCACTGCAGACGTTGTCGTTGCCAACAAGAAACCATCAAACTGCAAAACTGCACGAAAATATGCAAAAACGGCCAAATGATTGCGGCTCAGTTGCGCGCGCTGCATCAAAACCATTCCCCAAAGCCAAACGCCGCCCCTCCCCTCCCATCCGTCACTCGCTGTGTGTAGGTCGTCGGGTTGGCTCTGCTCTGCTCTGCTTCCACAGTCCTGAATCCGGGCATGCATGCAACGAAAATGAAATTAAGTCAAGACGGTAGTCACATTAATCGACCGCACAGCCATGTCCCCTAACCCACTTGCTCTCTCCTCCTCTCTCTCTCTCTCTCTCTCTCTCTTTCTTAGTACTCTTTGCCATTTCCTCTGACTGCCGCCCACCACTTGACAGCAGCGGCTTTTGCTGGATTTATTTTCCCTTTTGTTGCTGCTGCCGCTGCCGCTGCTGCTACTACTCCTGTTGTTGTTGTTGCTGTTGTTGCTGCTGTTGCCGTTGATTTTCACTTCTTAGCAACAATTAAGCGCGCACATAAGTCAAAACCGCAACTACAACAAAATACAACAACAATGCACACAACTAAACGGAGCACACACACAGAGAGAGTGAAAAAAAGAGTATGAGGAAAAAATAAAGTAAAAATGTAAAGAGCGCTTGACC